CTGATTTTCTTCGTTTGCTATTAAAATGACTTAAATTAGGGTCTGCTGTACTTAGCTCAAAATGAAGGAAATATTAGGCAGCTTTCTGATTGATAGATATATTTTTAGAATATAGAATTATTCACATTGACTGTCTCCACAAATTATATTTGTGTTTTGTTTCAAGTGCTAAATATATGAAACATTTTTATATAATAGGAAAATTAATTACTAGGTGTTTCAGAGATAAATAGCTGAATAGACACCTCAATGATGACAACTTTAGACTTTTTATTCTATTATATTTCTCACTTGATGTGTGGTCTTGGGCATGTTGCTACAAATAAAAGTGTCAACAGGAGATTTCACAGAACTGGCTATGAGCATTGACATGTATTATGTACCTCTGAAATGTCTGTATGATGCCGTCATTATAATGTACAATAAATAGACCTATTTTAAAGGCAGAATATATAATGAAAATAACTATAACAAAATAACCTCAAAGTGGCCTTTTTCCTCTCTTTCTTTTTTTTTCTTTCTTTTCTTCCTTCCTTCCTTCCTCCCTCCCTCTCTTCCCTTCCTTCCTTCTTTTCTTTTCTTTTCCTTCTTTCTTTCCCTTTCTTTCTTCCTTTCTTTTTTCTTTTTTTCTTTCTTTCCCTCTTTTCTTTCTTTCTTTCCCTCCTCCCTTACTCCCTTACTCCCTCCCTCTCCTTCCTTCCTTCCTTCCTTCCTTCCTTCCTTCCTTCCTTCCTTCCTTCCTTCCTCTCTTTCTCTCTCCCTTTCTCCCTTTCTCTCTTTCTTTCTCTCACTCTGTCGCCCAGGCTGGAGTGTAGTGATGTGATCTCAGCTCACCGCAACCTCCGCCTCCCGTGTTCAAGTGATTCTCCTGCCTCAGCCTCCCTGAGTAGTTGGGATCATGGGCACTTGCTACTATGCTTGCCTACTTTTTGTATTTTTAGTAAAGACAGAATTTCACCATGTTGGCCAGGCTGGTCTTGAATTCCTGACCTCAAGTGATCTGCCCAGCTTGGCCTCCCAAAGTGCTGGGATTACAGGCAAGAGTCACTACTCCTGGCCAGAATACAATGTACTTTCTATTCTTCCTTAGGCTAATAAATTTTCTATCTCCATGACTCCTTAGATCTTTGTGTCCTAAAAGGGAATTTAGGACATGTCAAAAGTGAATCTTCTTGTTTCAGCAAAGCAGTTACCCACATTCGAGGAGTTCAGTTTATAGGGCGTTGTTAACTCATTCGATTTTATTTTTGTTTACTTGTATTCCCTAATTTTGGAGCAGAGAATCTAATGATCCTCTGATATCAAACTTAAGTTGTGTTCTCAACATCACAAATAGTTTAGCTTCTGAAACTCCAGGAAGTTCTGATTGACCCCAAATTTGGTTGAGGCTCAATGTGACCAAACACTTCTTAAGTAAATGTTATAATCTATAAGATTATATATTCCTCCCTTGGATAACAAGACCATAGGATAGAAACTTTTATTTAGTGTTGTAGTAATGGTAGTGTCATGCAGATTTCAATCATAGCAATTTACTGTACGAAAACTGTCTTCTAGAAATGATATTGCTACTATTGCATTTCCATCAGTTGGACATTTGTTTGCTTTGCATCCCAGCAAAAATAAGGGATATGGGTGCTCCAGCCACATTTGTTTGGTTATGATTCACTTATGACCAATAACCTGTGTTTAACAAACAGCAGCTATCTCTGTCTGACTGTAGTATGGAATCCAGCTAATTCACTGATTCCTAACGACCTGTACTTCCGGTCTAGGATCCAACACCACCAGACTTCTGTGTTTTATTGTTGTTGTTTGTTCGTTTAAAGGATCTAAAATCCGATCTGTTTTAATGTTGTGACATGGTTCAAAGTTCCATTACTGCATATTTTCATACATTTGATCACCACTAACTTTTTGGTAAAAACAATACACAAGCCCCTGCTTTAAAAAAATAGATAAAAAGAAAACCAAAAAAAAGTTTGCCCAAATGGGTTTGCAATTCTGTAAGGTCTGTCCTTGATCTGGTCTTATCACGCCATGGAAATGCAATCTATTAATGATAAACCTATTTTATCAAGGCATAAGCTAACTTTTAAGCATTCTTGTTTGAAATTACTCCTCTACTTGCAATCACAGCTGCCTGGTGACAAACATCTGACAGTTAAATATTAATGCCCCACATAGATATAATTAAAAAAACAAGCTGAAGTTAAATACCTTTTATGTGGCTAAAAAATGGTGCATTGATGATTCACCAATTGAAGTACTATACAAAAACACCTCCCATTCTCAGAAGAGCCAGCTGGAAGGAGGCATTGCTTGGTTAATTGTAGTTTTACTTATATTTTTCCACCATTTAGTAAATGGGAAACGTCTTTTTTTTTTTTTTTTTCCCAAATTCTTTCACAAAAGCTTTGGGAAGTCTAGCTTTGTTGACTATCAATATGGTACTATACATTTCCAAATAGCTTCGTAGCCAGCATTTCACAATATGCTATGTGGTCACTAGTTTTTCACAGTTTTGAAAGTGAGAAAACTGACATAGAGGTTAGATGATTAGTTTTAGTTAATTGGGAATCCCAAATCTCATGCGCCAACTTAGGCATCTTAAAAAAAATTCATGTGCCAATGTCAGAATATAACTATCCATTTGACCTCCACAAAGCTGATCATGTACAAAGGCAAACATTTTCATTTCTCTGGCAATCTTGGCACCTTCAACATAGTTTAATTGTTTACAACCTTCAGTGATAAAATTAAATTGGCGTTCTTTGTCTATCCTTTACTTATTTGGTGAATTTTCATTTATCCTTTAAAAGTCTTTTTTGACTCCCTTCCCTCTTCAAAGCCTTGTCTGTTCTTCCCTCTTTGTCAGTTGACGGTGTTTTCTCAGCATGCTCTCTGTACCTAGCCAGCTGCCCTGATAGGCCATGAGTAAGGTGAAGACGGACCCTATCTCTCATTCACCTTGGCCCAGTGTCCAGCACAAACTAAGCACTCAATCAATTTAGTTTGTTGAACTAACTAGCTAGCTAACTACTAAAGAAATTAAGATTCAGGTGGTATAGAGGAATAAAGAATAATTTGGTAACTTCTAACAGTGAACACTGAGCACAGATCAGGGTATGGAATATCGTATAAAGTGTAAGAAAGACATGGAAGTACCTCAGGTTATACTTTTCACGAGTACTAACCTGAAGCACTAGCGTGACAACTGTCGTGATACTGGGGATGATCTGAATACTCTTCCTCTCAGATTAAAGTGGATATTTTCTAATACAACAATATTTATTGGTAAAATATGACATTTTCCTTAAAAAACTTAAAAGAGGCTTAAGAATGTTCTCTACAGTTTAGGACACATTTTGAGTGTGAATAGAGTTACTCAAAACATCCTATCAATATCCAGGGGGCTTCCATATTTCTTTCCCCTTTAACTAGATGCCACTTCCATTTGTGTTTCATCAGTGAAAAAGTAATTTGGAGGCCTCATTCATTATCCCGCAGCTGGAGTTTTCATTCGTTTGTACTGGGGGACCCTCGCCTTAACTGCACACACCTCCCTTTCCTCTGGGTCCCATCCTTGCCACCTGCCAGGGGCAAAGTTGAAGCAGCCCCTCCACACCACTGCTCAACCAGGTCTGATATCCTCGTCCAATTCTACTGTCAGCGGCATTCTGCTCAGAGATTACTTTTGTTTTACCCCAGGCACAGGTAGTGACTGAATAAAAGGTAATGAAAGAAATAAGAGCCCTGCCTAGAACTGCAGGCACGAGTCACAACAGGGCCCTGAAAGCAGCCTGTGGCAAGAAGTATGGCTTCCAGGTACCCGCCTCCACACTCAGCCCAGCCTTAGGTATGCAAGGAAAATCACACCCCAGGAAAGACCGACATTCTTTCTCCTGTTGAAACTCCAAGCCCAAACTGTTATTCTAAAGGAAGCGCATGGCCTTTCAAGGCCTTCCAGTTCTTCCTACTGCTTGGGAACTGATGCGCGTTCCTCCTCCTGCAGCCGGCCTGGGATAAGGGGAGAGCAGGGGGCAGGTGGCGCAGAATATGCCCATGTTTCAGAAAGCTGGTCCACCCTGTGTGCCCCGTCTCACCAGATGTGCAGACAGCTGAGGGTGGCAAAGAGAATTCCCGCAATGAAGGCCAGGGGAATGGCCAGGAACACCGTCAGGAACTTGTACATTACGTATTTGCTGATTTCAAAGAGGGCATGGCTGCAGATCCACACTTTGTCAAAGGAGTGCGTAGTCACCGGCTCTGCGATCACATCCTCGAAGCCCAGCTGCGGAGACAGGACGCAGGGACCCCGAACCGTCAGCGGACCTGCCGCCCTGGAACCGGGAGCGCTCTGGGCGGGGGAAGCAGGAGGGAAGGACGTGCTAGGGCATCCCCCTCTTCTCTTAGGGTCACGGTGGGCGCACAGGAACCTGGCTAAGAATTCCTGGCTACGCAGGCGGCGGGTGGCGCGTGGGACCGTGGGAGGGTGCGGGTCTCAGACCCTGCAGGGCCGACCCGGTGGCGAGGGTGGGACGGGGTGGGGCGGGGCTGAGGGGCGCCCGCACCTCCCGGCCTCAGCGGGGACCTGGGCCCGCCCGCCCCGGGCTTCACCTTGAGATGTGAGTTGAGCCGGTGGGGATCCCGGTCCTGGGCCGAGTCCGCGAACTTCTCGGGGTCGGCATACTCGAGGCCGCTGTGGTGGCTGTAGGAGTCGTCGTCCATGAAGAGCTGCACGTCCGCCTTCTCCGTCTCCAGTCCCATAGCGGCCTTGGTGCGCAGCCGCTGCAGCCCGGCTGGCGCGGTGCGGCTCCGGGTCCGCGCGGCCTCCCCTTCCCGTAGCGCCCGGCCCCGCCCCGCCTCGTCTCTCCCAGCGCGGCCCGGGCAGCGGCCGCTTCCCGCTGCGGGCTCCAGCCCCCAGCCCTGCAGTCTCCAGCCCCGCCCCGGCGCCCCGCCGCCCCTCCCCGCCCGCCTCCCCGGCCGGGGCGCTGGGAACCGTCCCCACGAGGCACAGCCCCGGCCCTGCCGTGGGCGGCGATGCCAGCAGCTGGGACTAGGAGGGCCTCCTGGTCACCCTGCTAGGCGCCCGTACTGTCATGCCTCAGAGCTGGCAGGTCGTCCCAGGGATGACAAAGGCCTTCCTGGAGGGATGGAGCCTTGTGGTTAGGAGCGCGGGGTGCAGAAGCAGGTCTGTGCTCACCTCCGGCTGTGTTTGCCCTGCGTGCTTCGGCCCATGGTGCTGGTACTGAGCCCCTGGGAACCTCAGCTGCCTCCTTCGCAAAATGGGAGCTGTGGCACCTGCTTCAGAGGTGTCCGTGAGAATTAAATGTGAATTTCACGTAAAATTCTAACACACATGGCCCATGGCCCGTAACACACAGTGATAAACTTCCGATCAACGTTGTTGCTGCTGTACTGAAAGGTAAGGAGCCACAAAGTACCTGAGTGCTAGGTGACCTGTAAGTGCATGTGAAGTTGGGTAGGCGAGCGCCCTGGCCCTAGAGTTTGTGCCTTCAGCCCTGAAGGGTGAGGGGAGATCTACTTTTTTTTACTTCCTAAACTACACCGTGTGTGTGTGTGTGTGTGTGTGTGTGTGTGTGTGTTTGTGTGTGTGGCGGAGTTTCGCTCTTGTTGCCCAGGCTGGAGTGCAATGGCGCGATCTCGGCTCATCGCAACTTCCGCCTCCCGGGTTCAAGCGATTCTCCTGCTTCAGCCTCCCAAGTAGCTGGGATTACAGGCAGCTGGGATTACCAGGCCCGGCTGATTTTGTAGTTTTAGTAGAGACGGGATTTCTCCATATTGGTCAGGCTGGTCTCGAACTCCTGACCTCAGGTGATCGGTCCTCCTTGGCCTCCCAAAGTTCTGGGATTGCAGGCCTGAGTCTCCGCGCCCGGCCTCCACCTTTTAATTTTCCTTTGAACCAGACTCTCTTGAAAGATTCAGGAACCTCTAAGATGCAGTCACATCTGTGATTATCTTGTAGGCAGCACAGAAACAGAACCCTAGCACAAAGCCACATTGCAATGGATGAATTAGCCTGCTGACTACTCACGCAAAGGTTTTCAGAAGGGAGGAGTTTGCATGTTCATAAAGGGCTTTAGGGTCTGGCAAACATATACGTGTGTTTGGGGAGGAAGGGCACTTAGTAAAAATTTGCCAAAAGCAAAACAATGAGAACTAGGCTTGAGGTGCAGGTTGCTCAGAGCTCAAAGTAGGCATGTGGTAGGTATTGCTGGATACAGTGTATTTGTAGCTTGAACATATCAAATCCCTTTAGGTGAACTGGATTTGAAGAATTACTTCTTCCAAAAGAAAAAAAGATCATTTTTGAAACAGCAAAAATTACAGAAATAAAAAAGAACAGGAACAGAATGAGAAAAATGTTTTGGGGTGGGAGGCGAAATTCAATATTTCTAACAAATAAAAAGTTTCCCTGCTGCTACCTCAGTATATGAATGGCAGTGTTGTAACCCTATGGAGTGTTACAGAGTTGAATCTCATGGCTATGGAACCCCTCCTCTCCCAGACATCACCCTGCTTACCCATTCCCTTCTGTTTTACATAGCTTTCCCACTTTTATTTGTGTTCAATCAATTCCAAAGTGATGACTTAGACATTCTACTCGTTGCATTTTCTGTGCTTCTCCACCTTGTCCATTCTCCTGAATTGGAACTCTTCTAGAATTGTTGCCCAACAACTCTTCATTAAAGTGAATAGAAGACATGAATCCTTATGGGAATCCATAATATCAATTGTGAGGAACAGAAAAAAAAGAGATAATTTACATCCGAATACCATTTCATAAACATTTATTTTCCTTAAAATTATAATCCCAGATTTCAAGGTCTCACCCAAAGAAAAAAGTCACTCCCATAGAACGAGAGTGGACTTATGTAGTGGGTAAAAATCTGACATTAGCACTTCTTATAATTCTTTGTCCTCATTATATTTACATTTCCCATGGGATTATTAGGACATTTGAGAGTTATCACAAATAATTGACTTGTTTTCAGGAAGTGGCCAAGAGGACTATTTAGATGATAGCTTCTTTCGTAAAATGATAGGTATTTAAAAAAGGTGTCCCTAAAACCCATCTAAGTGAAACCCATCTGGATTTGTTGTATGCAGCATAGAACTTGAAAGGAGAGGATTCATTTATTCATCCATTTGCAATTTTTTATTGAACAATCTCCTCTCCCATGGGTCAGATCTGGTGAGGTTCTTATTTTGATGAAATTCTTATCCATTTCAGCATTTTAATACATAAGATTTTTTTGAAAGAAGCTACAAAAATGACTTTGCTTATCCTATTGTTTAGTGTTTAGATAAGGTTAGTTATATGGTTTGGATTTGTGTCCCTGCCGAATCTCATGTGGAACTGTAATCCCCAGTGTTGGAGGTGGGGCTTGGTGGGAGGTGATTGGAGATTGGATCTTGGGGGCAGAGTTCTTAGGAATGGTTTAGCAACCACCCCCACCGCCACCCCCGCCCCCGACCCACAGCTGGTACTGTATAGTGAGTGAGTTCTCATTAGATCTTGTCCTTCAAAAATGTGTGGCTCCTTCCCCTCACCTTTCTTTGGCTCCTTCTGTGATCATGTGAAGTGCTACTCCCTGTTTCCCTTCAGCCATGCACGTAAGTTTCCTGAGGCCTCCCCAGACGCTGAGCAGATGCCATCATAATGTTGTACAGTCAGTGGAACTGTGAGCCAACTAAACCTCTTTTCTTTATAAATTACCTAGTCTCAGGTATTTCTTTATAGCAGTGTGAGAACGGACTAATATAGTTAGCTACTGTTTTTTTCATGGGGCTTAAACCAGAGTGATTCCCACAGCAATGGCATCTGTCCTTATGAACATATAGGAAAATTTACCAGGAAAGGGAAAAGAAAGGAGGTGGGTGGGTGCTAAATGGCTGAGCACATTCTAGTGTCTTCTGGACCACAGAATTACTCCCCAATAAGCACTTCCTACAGAGTTTAATTGCCCTGTAATCCAGAGAAATTAAAAAAATTATAATAAGTTCATACTGGTGCATTTATCTTCTGACTTATTATGTATCTTAGCTTCTGATGAGAGGGCTGTTCTTTAGATGGTGTATTAATATATTTTAGAAATAATAGTCTGATGATAGATTAGAATTTGTGAGAAGGATAGTTTATAACCATTTTGTTCCTCACTTCTTTCAGCACAGTGTCAATGGAAGAAGGTTATTTTTCTGGAGCATTGAAAATTGCATGGCAATGCTCTTATGAATAAAAATATCTATTTTTTTTCCGTTCAGCTTTTTTTTTTCAAATCACACATGTGTCATATTTTTTTCCCTGTATAACTCACATACAATTTTAGTCAGGGTCTGTTTTTCAAACTGCCTTTGAGAAAATTGGTATTAATGAAAATGCAGTAATAACTTCTTGATCTCACTATATGTTTTAATAATATTTAAAGCATTCGGATTAGACCAGGGTTTCTCAGTCTCAACCCTATTGGCATTTTGGGCCAGATCATTTTTCCTTGTGAGAGGCTGTCCAGTCCATTGTAGGATGTTTAGCAGCATCCCTGGCATCTACCCACTAGATACCAATAACACTCCCAGTCATGACAGCCAAAGTATTTCCAAATGTTGCCAAATGTCCCCTGGGGAGCAAAATCACTTTTCCCCTTCTTTCCCAGGCTGAGAACCACTGAATAAGACAATGTTGAAACAGTGCTGTGTGAATTAGAAAAATTAAGCTCCAGCTCTTCATTTACAAATCCATGCTTAAGAGAAATCTCAGAATTGTATACCAATGTATTAGAAACTCCAGGGCTAGGCCTGGCACAGTGGCTTATACCTGTAATCCCAGCTCTCTGGGTGGCTGAGGAGGCAGACATAGTGAGACCAAGTCTCTACAAAAAGTAAAAAACCTAGCCAGGTGTAGTGACAGACGCCTGTAGTCCTAGCTACTAAAAGCCCAGGAGTTTGAGATTATAGAGTTTGAGGGCACAGAGCAAGGCCCATCTTAAAAAAAATAGAAAGAAACCCCATGTCTTTTTGAAATTAAACTTAAGAATATTTGTCATGTAAAATATTCAGAAGAACCTATTACCATTGACTAATTGCAAATGTTTCAATACAATGTTGGTATTAATGAATATATATTAACCCCCACTCCTTTCCCCTAGAGATCAACAGGGAGCAACTGCCAAGGCCTCAAGCCCTGTCTACCTTGCCTGGCCTCCTATACTTTCCTCACAAAGGGTAGGATTGTTTAAATGATTATATCTGGAAAAACACAGGCTTGGGACTTCTTGATCTGTAAGATTCTATCTTAACATTATAAAATTCAGCGATTTTTGGCAATCTTCAGCAACTGAATAGCGTTTGCAAGTTTTAAGTGACCTTAACTGAGAAATCCATGGACTTGCTATTGGGAGAGCCAGGCAGTTGCTTACCAGGTTCTTCAAGCATCCCCTCCTAGGCTTGCTTACTGTTAGCAAGGACAAAGCTTGAGAAATTTGGAAGGACCTGCTGTTTCCGGCATAAGCCACTCTCTCTGTGGCTTTACATAAACTATTCCTTGCATAACTCCTGTCTGCTACTCCTTCTTTATCAATGCATCTTTTAATTTCCTCCTTCTACCCTCCAACTCACCCTCCACCTTCCACTATCTGCCCCCCTTCCAACTGTCCCCCCACCTCCCCAATACAGAGGACATTTCCTCCACAAAAAAGTTTAAAGGAATAGATAAAAATGTCTGCTATTAAAGTTAGTCAATAATCAACTTTGCGGTGTGGTGCCACATGGTTGCATGGTGTTTAATAAAAGTTTCTTCACTTTTTTCCCCCTGATTTACCACTTGTCTTTTTGTTCACAATTTGTGTAAAATAAGTCTTGCATCAGTGGACCAGGGAATTTTTAGCTTAATATTAAGAAACAGTAGCTTGTTGGTAATTGTGGCAAGCTTGATCTTCTGGCTGTTTCAGACAGCACCTTCTCTGGTCAAAAATCCCTCTCCATTTACTAGAATTTCCAGAATTAACTTTTGTTTGGCAATACCTGGCAATTAGAAATGAATGAGGAAGAAGGTACACTCTTGAAAAACCTGTATTCGCAGTTAGAGCTGGTAGGATAGGTCATTTCGTTCTCATTAAAAACAATGTATGACAATTAATTTTAGATTTATGTTATCCTGTGTTCCATAAGTAAAGGATGTTCCTGTTTAATCTTTTGAGTATCCCATGGATTTATGAAATACTGTATATACAAATAAGACATCTCTATAGGACGTTGATATTTTATCTTTGCAGAACATGAAATGGGCACTAATTAACTTTGGTTGTGCACTGTTAAGTTAAACTCTCAATGAGTACAACTTCCTCTGTGTTCAAGTGGAAATATCATTTCTACAAAGCTGCAGAGTTAAATGTTTTCCAAACACCA